CCAAAAATAGCTTCCAGAGTCCCCAGGCATGGAAATTCTGATCTAACCCAGTGTGTTCTTTGGGTCTAGAAATTTCTTATGGCTGATCCTGCAAGTTCAACACAATGAGTTGCTTCCCTCTATTAGCAGGAGGAGGCGGGTGGATCTGGAGCCAGAAAGACCCAAGTTAGCATCCAGGTCTTTCAGTCACCTCCTGTGAGGCCTTGGGCAAGTTTCTGAACTTCTCTGGGTTCTGGTCTTCTTTTCTGCAACATAGGGTTGACAATACTTGCCCTGAGAGATTCTTGGGAGAATTAAATGAGCTAAAGTATGTAAGTGCTTGCAGTACATTAAAAAAAAAACACCCATAGCCTTTATTCTATTTTTTATGGATTATTTCTGTTCCATGAAGACTAAGGCTTCAGCTGGAGAAGGGGTTACTCAAAACATTTGGAGACTAGTCGCACACATGGTACGTTTGTTGGCATGACTTGAAGGCCGGGTGTCACCATCACTGGGAACAGTGACTGATATGCTGACATATGGCCTCTTCAGATGTCTTGGGCTTCCTTCCAGCATGGCAACTTCAAGGGAGTTAGAATTCTTATGTTGCAGGTCAGGGCTCCAAGAGCAAGTCTTCCAGCAAACAAGATGGAACTGTGTAGCCTTTTATGACCAAGTCTCAGACATTGCACGGCATCACTTCTGTAATACTCTCTTGGTTGAATTCATCAAAGCTCACTCAGTTTCAAGGGGAGGAGATATAGACTCCACTTCTTCTTTTTTTTCCTTCCTTCCTTCCTTCCTTCTCTTTCCTTCCTTTTCCCTTCCCTTCCTTTCTCATTCCTTCCTTCTTCTCTTTCCTTCCTTCCCTTCCTTTCTCCTTCCTCCCTCCCTCCCTTCCCTCCTTCCCTCCCTCCCTCCTTCCTTCTTTCCTTTCCTTCTTCCTTCCCTCCTTCACTTCTTCCTTCCCTTCTTCCTTCCTTCCTTCCTCCTTCCCTCTCTCTCTTTCTTTTCCTCTCTCCTCCCTCTCTTTTGCTCTCTCAACCTCCACCTTCCAGGTTCAAGCAATTCTCCTGCCTCTGCCTCCCCAGTAGCTGGGATTATAGGCAGGTGCTTCCACACCTGGCTAATTTTGTATTTTTAGTAGAGACGGAGTTTCTCCATGTTGGTCAGGCTGAGGTCGGCTGATCCCGACCTCAGGTGATCTGCCTGCTTCAGCCTCCCGAAGTGCTGCGATTACAAACGTGAGCCACTGTGCCTGGCTGACCCCACGTCTTAATCCAAGAAGTGGCAAAAACTTTACAGCTGTGTTTTCAAAGTGCCACCCCTTTTGACTTAGCCAGTCCACCCCTGCGTATCACCCCATCAGATATGGGAAATAATGCCTCTGCAAAGATGGTCACTGCAGCCCTGATGGTGACAGGAGATGATCAGGAATAACCAAAAGGTCCATCAATAGCGGGCTGCGTAAATACATCACGATGCTCCCACACAGTGTAATACTATGCAGTTAAAAAAATAGGCTGGGTGCAGTGGCTCACGCCCAGAATCCCAATATTTTTTGGAAGGCCAAAGCAGGAGGATCACTTGGGTTTAGGAGTTAGAGACCAGCCTGGACAATATAGTGGAGCCCTGTCTCTACAAAACATTTTTTTAAATAATTGGCCAGGCATGGTGGTATGCACCTGTAGTCTCAGCTACTCAGGAGACTGAGGTGGCAGGACTGCTTGAGCCTGGGAGGTTGAGGCTGCAGCGAGCTGTGACTGTGCCACTGCACTCCAGCCTGGGTGACAGAGTGAGACCCTATCTCAAATAAATAAATGAATAAGGTTATTCTGTGTCTATTGATATAGAACCATTCTGAATACTATTGTGCAGTGAAGAAAAGCAAGGTGCAGGACACTGTGTGTGCTAGGTAGCCTCCAGATGACCCATAATAATTCTCACTTCCTGGGACCTAATGTGGTCCCCTCCCACATTAACTAAGGCTGACCTGTGAAATTAGGAGGATATGGTGGAAACACATCTTCCTTCCAAGGCTAGATCATAAATGATATTGTGGCTTCCACTCTGTTCTGTCTTGGACCACTTGCCCGACAGAAGCCAGCTGCCATGTTGTGAGGACACTCAAGCAGCCCTATCGAGACATCTATGAGGTGAGGAGCTGAGGCCTCCTGCCAAAAGCCACATAATGAGCCATCCAGAAAGTAGAGCCTCCAGCCCCAGTTGAGCCTTCGGATGACAGCAGCCTTGGCCAACTGCTTGACCGGAGCCTCATGAGACACTGAGCCAGAATCACCCAGCTGAGTTGCTCCCAAATTCCTGCCCCTCAGAAACTGTGAGATGAAAAAACGTTATTCATATTTCAAGCTGCCAAATTTTGGGCTAGCTTGCTATGCAGCAATAGCAATAGATAACTAATACAGTATGTACATGGAGTCATCCATTCTCACATTGCTATGAAAACATACCAGAGACTGGGTAATTTATAAAGAAAAGAGGTTTCATTGGCTCACAGTTCTGCAGACTGCATAGGGAGCATGGTGCTGGCCTCTGCTCGGCTTCTGGAGAGGGTTCAGGAAACTTCCAATCATGGTGGAAGGCAAAGTGGGGGCAGGCATGTCACATGGTGGTAGCAGGAGCAAAAGAGAGAGGGGGGAAGGTGCTATATACTTGTAAATGACCACATCTCATGAGAACTCACTCACTACCACAGGGATAGTACCAAGAGGGATGGTGCTAAGCCATTCATGAGAAATCCACTCACACGTCCCACCAGGCCCACCTCCAGCATCAGGGGTTACAATTCAACATGAGATTTGGGTGGGGACACAGATCCAAATCATATCAGTATAGTAGCCTAAGATTTGAGTAAATGCATTAAGTATATTCTGGAAGGAGGCCAGGTGCGGTGGCTCACACCTGTAATCACAGCACTTTGGGAGGTGGAGGTGGACAGATCACCTGAGGTCTGAGGTCAGGAGTTCGAGACCAGCCTGTCCAACATGGTGAAACCCCATCTCTACTAAAAATGCAAAATTAGCTGGGCATGGTAGTGGGTGTCTGTAATCCCAGCTTCTGGGGGGGCTGAGGCAGGAGAATTGCTTAAGCCCGAGAGATGAAGGTTGCGATGAGCCAAGATCACACCACTGCACTCCAGCCTACGCAACAAGAGTGAAACTTCATCTCAAAAAAAAAAAAAAAAAAAAAAAAAAAGGCCGGGCGCAGTGGCTCACTCCTGTAATCCCAGCACTTTGGGAGGCCGAGGCAGGCAGGTCATGAGGCTAAGAGATCAAGACCATCTTGGCCAACATGGTGAAACTCCCGTCTCTACTAAAAATACAAAAATCAGCTGGGTGTGGTGGTGTGTGCCTGTGGTCCCAGCTACTCGGGAGGCTGAGACAGAAGAACGGCTTGAACCTGGGAGGCAGAGGTTGCAGTGAGCCAAGATAATGCCATTGCACTCCAGCCTGGGTGATAAGAGCAAAACTCTGTCTCAAAAAAAATTAAAAAAAAAGAAGTACTCCTGGAAGGAAGTAGAAGAAACTGGTATCAGAAAGGGAACCGGGGTGGCTGGGGGATGACAGGGCTGGTGAGGAGAGGGAGAGAGAGAGAAAGAGAGAGAGAGAGAGAGACACCAGCCTCGTATCTTTTTTGCATTTTGAACCAATCATCTTTTTTTAAAAATACACTAAATGTCAAATCGATAAATAAAAACAAAGTGGTGTTTTTAGGCAATCCCCAGTAAGCAGCAGCTGTGACTATTCACGTCACAGATATTTCCCAAGCTGCCAGAAGCTTCCCATGTGTATGTGTGAACAGAGCTGCAAACTTCATGGGTTCCTGAAGAATAAGGGGGGCCAGGGCTGAGAGGTGCACAGAAGCCTCACCGTGTACTAGCTTTGCACAGGGGGTGGGCAACTTAGCCTCTTTGAGCTTCCATTTTCTTAACTGAAAAATAGGGATCATGGGTACAGTCACATGGGCCAGGCATGAGGTAAACCCTTAACAGATTTGACTGTTATTACAGTATTTTTTTTTTTTTTGAGATAGAGTCTCCCTCATCTGAAGAGCAGTGGCACAATCCTAGCTCAGTGCTGCCTCAAACTCCTGCAATCCTCCTGCCTCACCCTCCCAAGTAGCTGCAAGCACGCCACCATGCTTGGCTAATTTTTAATTTTTTTGTAGAGACAGAGTCTCACTATGATGCCCAGGCTGGTCTCGAACTCCTGGCCTCAAGTGATCCTCCCACTTTGACCTCCCAAAGTACTGGGATTACAGATGTGAGCCACTGCACCGGCCAGATTTGGTTGTTTTTATTAATAAGGGCCAAAGATCCTGTCTTGGGCAAGGAGAAAGGAGGAACACACTGAGCCCGTTGTCACCACTGTGCAGGTGGTCTGGGTAGGTGGCCCGTGTGGGAGCAAAGCTTCCCAGGGTAGAAGCTGGGCAAGGGGTTATGAAGTAGAGCAGCTTCCCAGGATAGAAGCGAGGGGTTATGAAGGCACCAAAGACAGCAAAGGAGACTCCACCTTCCACACAGCACACCACCCCTCATCCCTCCCCATGCACAAAGGTGGCAGGCAGCCCTGACTGCAGGGATGCCCACGCCTGCACCTCTTCCCCTACCCCCTTGGCCTGATGGGCAAGTGCAGAGCAGGAGGCAGAGCCCACTGCAGAAGGAAGAGGCGAACCCCCTCCCAGGGCCCTGGGTGTGTGCTGGGTGCCACTCAGCCCTGCGTTCCAGCCACCTCCCCGCAGGACCCACGGTAGGACAGGGCAGAACAGAGACCCACCCACCATGAGGCAGTCCCTAGAGAAGTGGGAAGGTCAAGGGGTGCAGGAAGAACTGGGGGTCCCTGAGGTCAGGGGCTGCCTTGGGTGCTTGGCTCTCTCCTCTTGCTATGCCAGGAAGGGCGCTTGGGTGACAGGCACCCACACGCCTCCAGATTACTCTACAGGTGCCAGGGCATGGCAGCTGGGTGGGCCCAGGGAATTCCCACAGGGCAAACCTGGGCATCAGCATGGTAGGGCAGAAGGGGTGTCAGGAAGCCGGGCAGTGGCTCCGTGTCCCTGCATGACCTCGGCAAGTCACTTCTCCCGCTGTGCCTGGATCTCCCAAGCTGTCAGGTGAGGCATGGCCACTGGGCCTGAGGGCTTTACGGGCTGCCTGGGAGCAGGACAGAGATGAGAGGATGGGTTGTCAAGCCTGCCTGACTCTGAGGATGACCGGATACGGTGCCCCTTTGGGGCAAGTCCCTGGGGAGGCACCTCCGGCCTGGCCAGGGATGTGGAGGTGCTCTGCTCATGACTCACCCTTTCTGGGACTGGCATTGTCCCCTGGGAGGCACTTGCCAGGAAGGCCTTGACCTGGCCCCTTCTGCCTTATGCAGATGTCTCAGCCTTAGCTGCAGCCGGCCCAGGCCAGGGAAATGTTGGCTGCCTCCGTCCCACGGCAGGGAGGGGGATGGCGTGGAGATGCTGAGCGCCTTTCCTCTGGATGGTGAACATATCTGTACTCAGCTTGGTCACTGCGCCGGTGATTTCTGGCAACACATAACCAATATAACAACTTGTCCTCAAGGAAACAGCACCCTGACGCCCTCCCTCGTCCCGAGTCAGGGATCCCTGTCCGGTGCATCCTGTCTCGGGATCGGCCGCTCTTGCACAAGCCAAAAAACCTTGTGTAAACACTCTTTCCCTCAGCCCCCAAACCTGGTCACCATCCTTAGTGTGGGTTCCCTAGAAGCTGACCCTAAACAGGGGTTCGGTGACCATGACCTGGTGCTAGGTCACCCCTTAGGGGTCCTGATCAGGGGCAAAAAACTGGAATTTTATGCCCGTTGCATGTGATTGGTTAAGGGAGTACTCACTTCTGCCCTCTGGGCAGTACACAAATTCCTGGGAGCTTCTGCTTCTCCAGGGGCTGCAGGCAAAGCTGGTTCCAGCAGCAACAGATGGTACCTGGCCAGGAAATGTTGGTACCTGCTACTGGCAGGGAAAGTTCCCTGCAAGGAGGGGTAAAGGGATAGGGGCTGGGGAGGAATGTGGGGTGGACGCTGCAGTGTCTGTGACCACAGCCAAATGCTCTCCGTTTGACCTCTATTTCTGGAAAACGTTTGCTTCTCTTCCTTCCCACAGCAGCCCTTATCTGTTACCAGGACACCCAGGCGCCCCTAGCTAAACTCCCTGCAGCTCCACTAACTACTGCCCACCCCGAAGCAGAGGGGACTTTTTTTTTTGAGATGGAGTCTCGCTCTTGTTGCCCAGGCTGGAGTGCAGTGGCACGATCTCAGCTCACTGCAACATCCGCCTCCCGGGTGCAAGCGGTTCTCCTGCCTCAGCCTCCCGAGTAGCTGGGACTACAGGCGAGAGCCACCATACCTGGCTAGATTTTGTATTTTTAGTAGAGACGGGGTTTCACCATGTTGGCCAGGATGGTCTTGATCTTTTGACCTCGTGAACTGCCCACCTTAGTCTCCCAAAGTGCTGGGATGACAGGCGTGAGCCACCGTGCCCGGCCCAGAGGGGACTTTCTAAATGCCTATCTGAGCCAATTTTCTAGATCGTGCTGATTTTCTAAATGCCAATCTAGCCACCTAACCCCCTGCCCTTGGGTGGGTTCCCCCAGCCCTCAGAGGTCCCAGACTCAGCTGCCCCCAGGTGCAGAAAGTTGCCATGAATGAATGAACACAGGGTGGCCGCTGCAAGCCACAGCCCTCCCCAGATACCTGTTTGATGGAGACAGCAGTTGAGAAATGCGCCTCACCTATGAGAAGATGACTTCGTAAGTGTGATGATCGAATGGTGGAGGAGGGGGGTGGAGGAGTGTGAGGGGCCTGGACCCTGGCTGACAGCAAGCCGGGTGTGCTGGGGGCAGAACAGTGTGACTCATGCCAGAGGAGATCAGGAGATAGCCTCTGGTACGGGCAGAGCCGGGATCACTGAGGAGGGGCCAGGACACCAGGTGGGAGGCTTCGGCCATGGACGGTCCAGGCGGGAGATGAGGCGGTGCGGACCTGGGTGGCGGCCTCAGGGAGGAGGGATGAACAGACTCAGGACATGGTGAGGGCCTTGCTGAAGGGTCCAGTGTGGAGCCGGGAACGACTGTGGCTACATGGCAGTGGGCTCGAAGGCTGGAGGCTCAGAGAGGGGACCACCTACTCCCGAGTGCACCTCACTGCCACTTCCAGGAGCCCTCAGGGCACCGGGGCAGACTGTCCTACAGAGTCCTAGGGCCCCCTGGGGAGGGAAGAAAGGGCACCCGGGATCCCGTCCTGTCTGTGAGGATGGATCGGCCCCACACAAGCTCTGGGGTGCAGGGGGAGGGAGGACAAAGAGGAAAAGAACCCAGACAGCACCGCGCAATCCAAGAAAGGGCTGGATGTGGTGGCTCCCGCCTGTAATCCCAACAGTTTGGGAGGCTGAGGCGGGAGGATCACTTGAAGCCAGGAGTTCAAGACCAGCCTGGGCGACATAGTGAGACCCCCCATCTCTACAAAGAGTTAAAAAAAATTTTTTTAAATAGAAAACCTCCAGGCCGAGCGTGGTGGCTCATGCCTATAGTTCCAGCACTTTGGGAGGCTGAGGTGGGGGGATCACGAGGTCAGAATTTTGAGACCAGCCTGGTCAATACGGTGAAACACCACCTCTACTCAAAATATAAAATTAGCTAGGCATGGTGGCCGGCACCTGGAGTCCCAGCTATTGGCGAGCCTGAGGCAGGAGAATTGCTTGAGCCCGACAGGCAGAGGTTGCAGTAAGTCGAGATCGTGCCACTGCACTCCAACCTGGGCAACAGAGTAAGACTCTGTCCCAAAAGAAAAGAAAAGCTCCAAAAAGGGGTTGAATCCCTAACACATCCCCCAGGCTGTACACCCAGGTGCTGGTGCTGGGTTTGCTCGCCCACATGCAAGGGGGTGTGAGGGGGGCTGGAGCCCATTATCACAGGCAGAGGACTCAGAGGCTTGGACAGGGAGAGGCTCTGCCCCAGGCCACCCAGCTAGAGGGAGAGGGTGTCATCCCCAGTGCAGCCATGACAACCCCATCCCTGCTTCCTCTTGAAGCCATTCAGAGGCCGCCTGCCCCTACCACCAGCCCCCTGACTTTCTGCCTTCAGCAAGCCCTGGCCAGAGTTATGACTTGCCTGGGTCTTTCCCTGTCCTGGCCTTGCAGGGTTTCGTTCTGATTCTCAAAATAACATGGTCTCCTCTGTTGCTAAACTGTCTTCCCAGAGGATGCTGGGTTCCCAGCAGGGCTGTTATAGGCAGCGGGGGAGGAAGGAATACACGGCAGATGTCCCAAAAAGCTGCTCACCATTTTCTAGGCTCTCTGCTGAAGGTCGTGTGTGTTCTCCATTTTATTTATTTATTTATTTTGAAACGGAGTCTCTGTTGCCCAGGCTGGAGTGCAATGGCACGATCTTGGCTCACTGCAACCTCTGCCTCCTGGTTCAAGAGATTCTCCTGCCTCAGCCTCCTGAGTATCTGGGATTACAGGTGCCCACCACCACGCCTGGCTAATTTGTGTATTTTTAGTAGAGACAGGGTTTCACCATATTGGCCAGGCTGGTCTTGAACTCTCGACCTCAAGTGATCCACCCACCTCGGTCTCCCAAAATGCTGGGATTACAGGGGTGAGCCACCATGCTCAGCCTCCTTTATTTTTTGAGATTAGTCTTGCTCTGTTGCCCAGCCTGGAATGCAGTGGTGATCTCGGCTCACTGCAACCTATGTCTCCTGGGCTCAAGCAATCCTCTTGCCTCAGCCTGAGTAGCTGGCATTGCAGGCGTGTGCCACCACATTTGGCTAGTTTTTGTATTTTTAGTAGAGACAGAGGTTCACCATGTTGGCCAGGCTGGCTCAAACTCCTGACCTCAGGTGATCTGCCCACCTCAGCCTCCCAAATTGCTGGGATTATAGGTGTGAGCCGCTGCTCCCAGCCTGTTTTCCATTCCTGAATCACATCTGCAAGTCTGTGTCAGCTTAGCTGGGAAGCACCACCACAAAGCCGGCCCTGGTGTGGAAACCCTCAGAACGAATTGGTGCAAAGGGTGAAGCAAGTGACATGTCCAGGCAGCCGTGAAATTCCAACCCCAATTGTTTTTTTTAAGAGACAGGATCTCACCCTGTTGCCCAGGCTAGAGCACAGAAGCACAGTCCTGGCTCACTGCAGCCAGGACTGATGGGCTCCACCTGCCTCAGCCTCCTGAGTAGCTGGGACTACAGGTGTGTGTGCCACCACACCCAGCTAACTTTTTAGTTTTTGTAGAGACAGGGTCTTGTTATGTTACCCAGGCTGGTATTAAACTCCTGGCTAAAGCAAGCCCTCCACCTCAGCATCCTGAAATACTGCGGTTACAGGCATGAGCCACCATGCCTGGCTCAACCCCACTTTCTCATGATCACCTAAGGCTTCAGTGGCTCCCCAGGGCTAGTGACACCCAACCGCAGCTCTGCCCTTGCTCACTGCTGCTGCTCGATCTTCTTTCTAGCTGGGGCCATCGCAGCAGTCTCTTGCGTGGTCGCCTGCTCTTCCAGTCTTGCCCTATCTGGTCCAGCTTTTCCCCCTAGCAGCAGACTGAGCTGCTGGAACCCAAATCTGCCCACCTCCCGCCTCCACTTAGAGTATGTCACTGGGTCCCACTGCCCACAGGCTGGCATCCAAGTTTGCTCTCCACCTGGCATTCAGGATTGGCTGCCTTGGATCTGCCCCTCTGCTGGTACTTCCCCCGACCCAACTCCACACTCCGATGGCTCTGACCCAGAGGTTCATTCCCAGCTCTCCCTGTCGTGTCCTTGAAGTCTGACCTTGACCCTGGGCAGCTGTTTCCCATGCCCCGAGTGCACCTGCTGTCCTTCCCATTAACACCAGCTCCTCCTTCAAGGTTGATCCCAGTGGTTGTCCCCAAGAGGATCCTTCGAGATTCCTAGTGACAAACAATAAAATCCAACTGTGGCTCACTGAAGCAGAAGAAGATGTATATAAACAGATATTGGGGTATACAAGACTCCCAGGAAGGCAGGAGGATCCCATGGAAAAGGGGACTTCACCTCCCTTCCTACCACAGAGCCAGCCTGGTGAAGTCCTCCTTCTTCACAGCCACCAGGAAACCCATGTGGCCCAGGCCCTTCCAGAAAGAGTCCTGGACAGGACAAGCCTCCAACTCAAACTCCAGAGCAGGTGCCTGATTGGCAGAGCCCAGTCACACGCCATGCCCTAGCTGCAAGGGAGGCAGGGAAAGTAGGTGTGGACTACTTGGGCTCCTCCCATGGAAGGCAGGCTCTGCTTGCCCACTGCCTCATGCGGGAGGAGTTTCCTGAGGGGCGGGGGTTCAGAGAGTGGGGGCTCATAGACTCAGGCTCTGTGCCTCCCCACGCCCCAGCATTCGCTATCTCGAGGGAGACACAATTGAATATCTGGTTACTCGGTCCTTGACAGAGGCCTCTGTAGCACTCCATGTCCATAGGTTCAATGTCCTGTGTGTGTCTTCTGCCCATGGGCATTTCCACATCTCTGCCTCCTTCTCTATGCAAGCTTCCCTGATGAGCTTCTCATCCAGTGGGGGAGACAGGCACTAAAAGGATGAGGACAGCCCAGTGTGGTACATGCTGTGATGGGCACATGCCGGGAGCTGAGAGGAGGCACCTGGTTCAGGTGCCTGGGGGCATCTGGGAAGGCTTCCTGGAGGAGGCACTGCTGACTGTTGGAGGATAAACAGGAGTTATAGAAGCAAAGGTGTTAGGCTGGGGTGCAGTGGCTCACACCTGTAATCCTAGAACTGTGGGAGGCCAAGGCAGGTGGATCCCCTGAGGTCAAGAATTTGAGACCAACCTGGCCAACATGACAAGACTCCATCTCTACTAAAAATACAAAAAGTAGTCAGGCATGGTGGCATGCAACTGGAATCCCAGTTACTCAGGAGGCTGAGGCAGGAGAAATGCTTGAACCCGGAGGCAGAGTCTGCAGTGAGCCGAGATTGTGCCATTGCGCTCCAGCCCGGATGACAGAGAGAGACTGTCTCAGAAAAAAAGAAAAAAGAGAAAGAAAAGGAAGGAAGGAAGGAAGGAGCGAGGGAGGGAGAGAAGGAAACGGAAAAGGAAAGGAGGAAAGAGAGGGAGGGAGAGAAAAAGAAAACGAAAGAAAGAAAGAAAGAGCGAGAAAGACAGAGGGAGGGAGGGAGGAAGGAAGGAGAGAAAGAAAGGGAGGGGAAGGATGGAAAGAAAAGAAGGAAAGGAGGGAGGGAGGGAAAGAAAGAAAGAAAAAGAAAAGGAAAAGAAAAGAAAGAAAAGAGAAGAGAAGAAAGGAAGGAAGAAAGAAAGGTGTTGGAGACATCACCCCAGGCTGAGGCAACAGCTTTGTGAAGCCACAGAGGTGCAAGGGGGAATTCCGAGGAGTTCTGGCATCACCTGGGTAGCGCCAGGAGATGCTGGTCCTACAGGGTGAGGCAGAGTTGTCAAGAGATGAGACCACTCAGGTTAGAAGGTGCCCAATTACTGCTGGCTTATGGGGTCTAGCTTTGAGCGAGGGCTGGGTGCCAGAGCAGGGGAGGGGCATGGTCAGATGTGAGCTGAGAACGACCCCTCTGAGAGCCTAACCTGGGGACCTGCCAGGGGTGTGGCAAGAGTCCTGGCCAGGCAGGCTCAAGCTGGGACCTTGGGCTGCTGAGGCGTGGGGACCATGAGAGGGACTCGGAAGACTCAGCAGGCTTTTGGTGGCAAGCAGAAGTTTGCCACTGCCGCTGGGGCATGTCTGGGCGAGGTAGAGAGACATGGGCAAGTCCCTGGCGCAGCCTAGGGTCCTCAGTTTCCTTATGAGTAAATAGAAGGATATGTGATCTCCAGGCTAGGGGCTAAGAGCCAGTCAGCCCACCCACTTCCTGCTCCTGTCTGTCCCACTCCCACGATGTACCAGGAGCTGGGGATGCAGTAACACGAAGTGGAAGCCACAGCCTGGCTCTCACCGGCAGTGGGTCCAGGAGTGGGCACGCAGTGATGACCCAATGCTGGGCTGAAGAGGATTTTCCCAACACGCAGGAGAGATTTGCCAGGAAAGAAAGGGATCTTAGACATTGACGACCGCCTTCCCGTGACAGCCCCGCTGGGGCCAGGTTTCTTGGGACAATCAATGCCATCATTCTGGGAAGCCCGCCCCAGGAGAGGCCCTGATTTCCCCCCATTTGCATAGCCACAGAAACAGGAAACAGGACTCATGTTGCCTCATCAGCGCGGGCTGGGCCAGGTCAGGCCAGCTCAGGGCTCAGCTTGGATGTCCCAGCCTGGGCTCCCCCTAGACAGCGGACAGAGAAGCACCATCTGGGCGCTCCATCCAGTGGGAGCCAGACAGGTGGCCTGAGAGCTCCAAGGCTGTCCCCAGTTCCACCTGGATGTCTGACATGGAGGCTCCAGGCAGCCCAGCTGCACCCCCCAGGGAGGAAGGGGGCCATCAACAGTGACACCTGGGTGCTCTACCAGGGTCAAAGTGCGCCGTGTTACTGCCAAGCTATCCTCGTTCCCAGAAGTGACGGGTCGAACTTCCTCCTGCAAGGAGTGTGCCTGTCTGCTACCTGGCCCCCCCACCTCCTCTCCCACTTTCCCCCAGCTCCCTTCCGGGAAGCAGGGCTTTAAGCAGGAAGAGTGTTTCTCAGATGCTATCCACTGAGTGTTGGGTGTGACCAAGGCTCCACGTGCTCAGCTGAGCCCAGAAACCGGAAGTTTGGGGTGCAGAGAGGGGGCAACCCTGGGTTTGGCCTCATCAGAGCCAGGTGCCCCTGGAGCCCTGGACCTCTCGGGCCTCAATTCTCCCACATCTGTCACGGGGGTACTTGTGCCTACCTCTCAGCGTTGACAGAAGCAGACACTAAGAGCGAAGGTGCCACAGCAGTGCTGGTGACTGCGATTCCAGAGCTCACATCTGCCTTAGTTGCAGTGCTCCAGCCGCTCTGGGGCAGCTACTGAAAGAGAAGCCAGATTTTAACGTTATATGAAGAGGCAGCGTGGTGGAGCATTAGCCCCATCCAAGACACCGTGTGAACACAGCTGGACCTGGGTTCGGATCTTGACTGTGCCACTTGCTGGCCATATGACCCAGGGTGAGCTCCTCAGCTTCGTGGGAGATCAGTTTCTGCATCTGTGGAATGGGAATGAAAAGTGGTACCCACCCCTTAGGGCTACAGCGAAGAGTCAATGAGACACCACATAAGAGGGACCCGCTAAGAGGGAGGATGCGGATGAGGGGCCATGAGCCCGCCAAGAGGATGTAAAGCTCAACCCTGTAGTGGCTCCCGTGGGAAAGGCGGGGGTTACAGAAATGAGTCCCTGTGGCTGTGTTAAATCAATCCCTCAGAGGCAGTGAGGAGGCAGGAGGCACTCAATGCTAGACTAGGGATCCAGAGAAAGGCTGAGGAAGGCCCATGCCTGGCCAGGGACATCTGAGGAGGCTTCCTGGAGGAGGGGATGTCCGAGCTGGTGGCAAGGACGGAGAGGTTTGGCCACCAAGGTGAAAGGGCCGCAAGCCAGGAGAGTAGCCAGTGGAGGCACAGGCAGGGTGATCGGCGTTTCTCCACGGGCGTGGGAAGGACAAGCCACACCCTTGACGGATCAGCCACTGCCTCCCCACAGACCGCGGACACCACCTCTCAGAGCCCTGAGCTCCAGTCATGGACACAGCCATTCTCTCACCCACTCCAGGTCTTCAGACTCCCAGCAACCAGGATGCCCCCTTTCCCGGCATCACAGATGAGGCAGGACAGTGGTGGCACAGACCTGGTGGCACAAACCCCGTCCTTCTCCGTGGGCCCCTCCGCTTCCTCCTCAGCGTCATCGCTGCCAGCACTGCAATTGCTAACTTTTCTCGTCATTTTTCTATGCAAATTTTCAGTGAACAAAAATGGGGTTATTGCTTCCAAACTCTTAGAACTTGCCTTATCCTCTAAAGATACACGTGTCACGGGCATCTTCCCAGGGAAGCAATACTCCAAATCACCATTTTATTTTGAGATGGAGTCTTGTTCTGTCCCCCAGCCTGGAGTGCAGTGGTGGTGAGCTCCTAGCTCACTTCAACCTCTGCCTCCAGGGTTTAAGCGATCCTCCTGCCTCAGCCTCCTGAGTAGCTGGGATTACAGGCACATGCCACCATGCCAGGCCAATTTTTGTGTGTTTAGTAGAGAAAGGGTTTTACCATGTTGGCCAGGCTGGTCTCGAACTCCTGACCTCAGATAATCCGCCTGCCTTGGCCTCCCAAAGTGCTGGAATTACAGATGTGAGCCACCACACCTGGCATCCAAATCACCATTTGAATGGCTGGAGAATGGGCTGCCCCATGGAATTGATGGACTGTAATGAATTTAACCAAGTCTGCAATCTCAGCAACCATTTCTTCAGGAGGGTGAGATGAGTGTAGCCAACAGTACAAGGGTTCAGAGTCCTTTGGTTTTGATTCTGACTCCACCTTTTTGTGTTTAAAGAGATGGGGTCTCACTATGTTGCCCAGGCTGATCTTGAACTCCTGGGCTCAACTGATCCTCCTGCCTTGGCCTCTGGAGTAGGTGACTCTGCTTCTTAGAGCTGTGTGACTCTGGACAAGTTACTCAACCTCTCTGTTTTTTCTTGGTTTCCTGAAAGACCAGAAACACAGACGCCCCTGCTGATGCCTAGTCATGAGACTCCCTGGAGATCTTGTGTGTATGGTGCTTACTTACGCGCAGCGCCCTGCAGACAGACAGGAGGTACCAGTTGGACGGGGTAAGGGGTATTGTTGCTGTTTGCTGTTATCTGGGCCAGGTGCTGATTTCACTGTCTGGAGAGTGAAGGGCTCCTGCCAAGTGGCATAAACGTTCAGAGTGACCATGAGGGTTCAGCGAGACTTTGGTGCCTCCTACCCTCCCTGTCCACTTCCAGGGAAAGCATCTGAGTCCCTTGCAGGGGGCCAGTCTCCAAATTCTGAGAATCATCTGGGGCTGGTTGACCTCACTGGGTGTCACAGGAGTCTAGAAAGACATTCTAGAAAGACACCCTCTGGGGAGAAACTCCCATACTGATGTCTCCCCGAAATGCCAGCATCACCCACCCCCTTCCTCTGGGTTCAACATTGTCCCCTCCCTGGGTTCCCCTTTGGATTTTAAATGAATGCCCCAGAGTGGCTCTGCAGAACAGCCTCAATGACGGCCACCACCAGAGACAGGGAGTTCCTGGATGGATGGACAGATGGATGCAGCCCCAACCCCCCGCTCCCCCTGGGCCCCAGCCAGAGGGCAAGAAAGCCCCTACTCAGCCTCCAACTGCTCAAAATCCCCCAAGCCAAATTCCCCCAGCCTGGGGATCGCCAGGAGGCAGCCCTGAGTCCCCAGCGTTGGCCCTGTTTGCCCCATCGCCTTCCCCCTGGGGGGGCAGGTGCAGCCTAGCTCTGCTCTAGTGTTCCCTGTGCACCGCTGTTCCCAGGCCAGGAGCCTCCCTTGGCCCCAAGCCCGGCACCCCAAGGCTCTCCCAGGCTCAGGCAGCAGCGCCCCGGCTCTCCTCTCCAGGCTGCTCAGCCTCTCTGAGCTGTGATTTTCTGCAAAATGGGACTATTCGATTGAACTACACATGAGATTGCCATTTTTGCAGGGCAAGATCAGGAAGGCAATTGGCAATTTCCTGTGGTTTCAGCCGACAGCTGCCTCCACTAGGGAGCTGAGGACTAAACGAAGAAATGAATGAGCAACCCTGGGCACAGAATCTGGCCCAACACACTTCATTGCCATTCCTATTATTTATTGTGGTGGATGGGGCTACCCTCACCCCACTTGAAGGATTACCAAGCCCTGCCACCTGGGCAAGGCTCCCTCTGAGGTGGGGAAGGTGCCAGGGGACCCTCCCCAAGTCCTGCCCACAGCCCCCAACTCACCAGGCTGGACACTCCTTGCTGAGTCTTTTAAGTCTCATTTCCCCCAAAAAGCCCTGAATCACCATCTGCCCGGCTGGGGGAGGAACTGGGAGCTGCATGCTGGCCTGCAGGAAGATGACTCAGGGGAATCCTTCGAGGCCCTTGGTGCGATGTGGGGGGAGTGATTAAGAGGGTGTCACAGGTGTGCGCCATGTGCCCGTCACCTGACCTGTGACCTTTTTCTGAGCTGGAGCTGCTGGAAACTGACTCAGGATGGACCTCTCCTGTCCTCCCTCCCCTCCCCAGGGCCAAGCTCCCTCTCTCTGGTGCTGGGAGGCAGGCCCTGAGCATTTCATTCATTGATTCATTTGTCCACTCATCATATCAGATGGATCATTCCTGACTCATCCATGGGTCCAGCCCTTCATTCATTAGTAATAAACTCCACGGCTATTCTCCCAGCCTGTCCTCCGGGGCAGCTGCCCTGTCACGTGTGTTTTCTCATTCAGTCCTCTCAGTGCCCAGGAGGAAGAGCTATATTATTACCCCCATTATACAGAGAGGAAAACTGAGGCACGGGAAAACAAAGCAACACCCTGTGGAGTCTGGATTCAAATCCAGGTCTGTCGCTGTCTTTAGAAAAGTCACTCTCACCTAGAACTATGCCTCCCCTTCGGTGTTCCTGCAGCCACGTGGCCAAGTGAAAGTTACCCAGGCCAGCCTCACCCCAGGACCTATGAGGGCAGGGACCTCAGCTCGCCACCTGGGGCCAGCACAGACTTCCTCATCTTGGCCCTGGGACAGTGTGGTGTCTCTTTAGGCTATGTAATAGCCCCCAGACCTGAGTTCCATCCTCTGTGGAAAGCCAAGCCTCCCCCCATGAGATCTCAGAGAATTTCCAGGAACTACATCCTCACAGCCTCAGGCTCCCGAATGCATAGAACTGGACCGGTTCTCTGACAGTTCTACCTCTGCACATGGGCTCTCTCTGTTCCTCAATCTCGAGGACCCCAGCAGAAATGTCAGCTCTTCTCTGCATCCCTCAAAACAAAACTCATGCTCCCATGAAGCATTTGTGAGAAGCAGTGGTGACTGAGGATCTGAAGGTGTGGACAGGGAGGGGGTTTTGCAGCTGCGGAGCCTCGATTTCCTATTGACATCAGATCTGTAAGTCGCTCCTGCACAGAGCACCCCGACGGACCTGCTGCACCTGCCACCCTGTCTGTGGGTTCTCCCGCATGGTGGATTTTTCTGGTGGTTTCTAAGCTTTATTGTGAGCTCATCTTCAGCAGGGAGATTTGCAGCTTGTGCCTGTGCACGCTCAGGCTCCCACACGCCTCAGGATGAGACGTTTCCCAACAAGGATGCGTTGAGTGTTTTGGGGAATACTCCAGGGATTTCACCAGCTGGGGACCTGTGTTCACAATGAATTCCTGGCATGAGATTCTAGCAGCCCAGAGTAGAATCAACTCAGATCTCAGTATCCCCTGCCCCGCCCCACCCCACACGCCCAGGCTTAGACTTTCAATTTTTGGACTTCCTGCTATCCAGTCTTCGGCTGTTCCTATCCGTCCATGGGGGCTGGAGGCAGTCCCTCAGGGCCCGGCCTTCACATGGGGTTTCTGTTTCTGCTCCCATGAAAGTCACGAGCAGGTATCAAGTCCAATCTGAGTTCCTCTCCCCTCCCCCACCTCCCTTCTACCTTCAGTTCCATTTTTATTATTGACCCCTGAGTTTGCTTTTTTTCTTCTGAGCTTTTTACTTTATTTCTGAGACAGAGTCTTGCTCTGTCACCTAGGCTGGAGTGCAGTGGCACGATCCCAGCTCACTGCAACCTCCATCTTCTAGGCTCAAGGGATTCTCATGCTTCAGTCTTCCTAGTAGCTGGGATTACAGATGTGCACCACTGTGCCCGGCTAATTTTTTGTGTTTTTAGTAGAGATGGGGTTTTGCCAGGTTGGCCAGGCTGGTTTTGAACTCCTGACTGCAGGTGATCCGCCTGCCTCAGCATCCCAAAGTGTTGGGATTACAGGCATGAGCCACTGTGCCTGGCCTCTTTTGAGCTTTCTAAAAACATGTACAATTACT